TCTCTATTCTTGCCATGTTGTCCTTGGCCACAGGACTGGACTCACACAGCAATGGCACCTGTTCCTGAGTCCCTATCTACCTTCCCAGGGCCCTGACACCCTGTCTAACCCCTGTTCCCAGTCTCCTCCATTACTGCTGAGCTCTTATACTGAAGGACTGATTACTAGAGCCACCATATTGCCATACACCTGACTTGGACCCACAGCACACAAACGGTACTCTTGTTCCATCCTCCTCCAGGTTATTGGCACTGCTTAATTATCAGTAATGCCTTCGATTAAGCCCCAACAACTAGCTACCCAGGTCTACAGACAAGACTGTTATTCTCACTGCCAGGTCTCTCGTCTGACTCCCCCATTTCAGTAGCTCATCCACAGAAGTGTCACAGCTGAGTCTATCCAAGCTGTCACACTTTTATCCTGTCTCTTTAAAAGCAATATGCTGTCGATTTTAAATTATTTATAGGCTTAATCTTGTAAGTCTTTACCTTCTGGACATTAGCACTGGAAAGCATCATTATTTTCAGTTAAGATACAACACAGAGTGACACATGCAGCCTTGAAAAGCTGAACGACTTCTTTCCCCTTGAGAGTCTTTGCACAATGTCCCGTATTTGGTACCCAAGGATACTTCCTTCCTCTCTCTGTGAACACGGATTACAGCAAGGTTACATTAGCTAATAAAAGCCCTCTGCTGACAAAAGATGCTTTTGAAAAGTCACTAGAAAAGGGTGCCTCTGTCGATAGCTTTATTAAAATATAATTCCACATCTTTGTGAAGTTTAAAGTCTCTGGATTGTGGTTAAAATCTGGTCGGCCCCAAATACAACGGAAAGCCTTTCAAGAGCCACATTTTGCTCAAGCTGGTCTCACCATGCACAGCAGCTAGAATATAAATCCAGACTCTCCCAGACAATTAATCATTTCCTTTCTGTGTCATGTAGGGGCTCCCATATGAAGGAAAAATCTACAGAATAAATGAGAGACAGGTACTATGCTGAACACCAAATAATGAAAATACGGAAATTACGTTACTGAAACAACTCCACACAAGTTAAAACAGTAATTAGATGACCTTTTTGTTCAACATACAGGCAGAATGTTTAAGTTTGAATGTTGGCCAGTATGTAAAGAAATGGCAATACACTATTACTGGGAGTTACATTTGTACAGGCTTTCTAGTGGGCATTTTGATGGTATCTGTTAAACGTAAAATGCAGATATAAATTCAGTGTTTCCTCTTTTACGTGATTCTAGAGAGATACTTCTACATGTACAGAGAAATGCTCATTTAAGGATGCTCATTAAAGCACTATTTATAATAGTAAAAATATCAAGAATCACTACGATGCCCATTATAAGGGGAATGGCTACACCTACAGCTGTGCAGCAATTGACAGTAGATTTACACATACATCAACCTAGGAAGGTATCTAAACAATAATATGAACAGTATAACCCCACATGTATAAAAAAGAAAAACCCATTTAAATCTTCATATACATAAGTATATGCATAAAAAAACCAAAATCAAACTCATTGCCATCAAGTCGATTCCGACTCATAGCGACACTATAGGACAGAGTAGAACTGCCCCATAGGGTTTCCAAGAAGCGGCTGGTGGATTCGAACTGCCAGTCTTTTGGTTAGCAGCCAAGTTCTTAACCACTGCACCACCAGGGCCCCATATCGTATGTGTGTGTATGTGTATACATATATACACACATACAATATTTATTTAAATGTATATAAAAATGTTGTGAAGAAAATATTTTAAGTCATATATCTGATAAAGGACTTATATGCAGAATATATAAAGAATTGGAAGCCTCATACATTGCCGGTAGGAATGTGAAATAGTACAGCTGCTGTAGAAAACAGATGGTGGTTCCTCTAAAAGTTAAACATTACCATATGACCCAGAAATTTCACTTCTAGGTATATACCCAAGAGAAGTGAAAACATATGTCCACACAAAAACTTGCACACAAACATTCATAGGAGCATTATTCACAACAGCCAAAAGGAGGAAACAACCAAGTGTCCATCAACAGAAGAGTTGGAAAAAAAAAAAAAAAAGCTGATATATTCATACAATAGAATATTATTCTGTAATGAAAAAGGAATGAAGTTCTGATCTATGCTACAACATGGATGAACCTTGAAAAACATTATGCTGAATGAAAGAAGCTGAGAGTACAGGCCACATATGTATGATTGATTCTACCTATAACGAAACATCTAGAATAGAAGAATCCATAGAGACAGAAAGTAGATTAGTGGTTGACAGGGGCTGGGTGGAGGGAGGAATGGGAAGTGATCATTAATGAGGTGATGAACATGTTCTAAAATTAGACAGTGCTGATGGCTGAACAACACTGTACTAAGAACCACTGAACTGTGCACTTTAAGAAGGTGAATTTTATGGTATGTGGATTATACTTCAATAAAGCTTTTATGAAGAATAAATTTAAAAATTTTAAAGGTCTTAAAGGATATCCACCAAACTAATAACAGTGGTTACTTTGGGGGAGGGGGATTAATATACTTCTAATAATAAGAATGGGTTCATGTATGGCTATTACTTATATAATTTAAAATATATTGAAAAAGGAAAGAAAAAAAATTCTACTAAGTTTCACTCAAAACAGTGCTGTCCTAAAAGAAATGCAGAGTGGTGTGCTATACACTTCCCAACTTATAACCAAAGAACAGATATCCATTGCAGAAAATGAGCATTTTTTTAATACTGTTCTGAGTCCTGGGTACTGTATATAAAAATGCATAAGCCATGCTCCTTGTCTTCCAGAAGTTTATGGTATATATAAGAATAGAGACATGTACACACACAACTGTTAAATAGTGTGCTAAATGCTATAGTAACAGCATGTACATCTAGCTAGGGAAGCACAGGGGAAGGGACTCAGGGGAGAAGGGCCAAACTTTAAAAGATAAGCAGAAGTTAGCCATGCAGAGAAGGTAAGGGTAGACAGGCAGCTAGAACAGTGTGGACAAAGTCTGCAGGTGCACTGGCGTGTAGGGTTTTCAAAGAGCAATGCACGTAAGCAGCTATAGCTGTAACAGATGTTTCATGGGGAAGATTCTTGCAGATGGAAGGGTAGGCAGGAATCAGGCTGAAAATGGCCTTAAATATTACGTTGTTGAAAAGTTAGGACTGTATTCTGTAGGCAAGGGAAAAGAGCACAGGAGGGGAATAGACCAGCTGGAAAGAGACTAGAGACAGGGAAATAAGGTCGGGAATTAGCTAGGCAGGAGAGAGGAGCTTGCGAACAAGAACAGGGGCAGTGGCAAAGAGGAAGGTCAGACTCAAGGAATATTTCAGAGGCAGAAGAGGCAGGGCTCAGTGACTGCTGTGGGAGGGAGAGGGGGCGTGGCGGCGACTCCCAGAAGCCATTAGTTGTCCATGCACATAGAAGATCACAGACAGACCTGCTTGCCCCTCAGGAAAACAAATGGAAATGAAAGAGAGCATTTTATATCCAATAGGAGGAAATACGCCCTGCACTTTGCATGCCGATGGGTAGACTGAGTCTCCTGAGCTCCCAATGTTGTTACTTTATGTGCTGAGGCAAAAGGTTATTTGCCAACATTTATTAGGTACATACTACAATATGTGCCATGCCTGTGCCCAGTACTTTACAAGCATAATATCATTTGATCCTCAGGACATGCCTTTGTAGAGACAGAAAACCGAGGTTAACTAAGATTAAGAAATCGGTTCAAACCCAGGCAGTGTGACTTCAGAAGCCAGCATACTTAACCACGATGCTTTCCTGCCTCTGATAAAGATGGTGCTGAGGGGCTGAGCTGAAGTTTCACACACATCAACAAAGTCAAGTCAGGCAACATATAATCAGGTCTCCTTTGTCTCTCACCAGATCAAATGCACATGCAAAACATCCTTTGCTTTCTCCCATTGAGATCACAGTAACTCTTCAATCTTCTCACTGACTCCCAGGATGTCCACAATGGCCATGTGAGGTGGGCACATCCAGCAAGGAGCAAAAAGGCTGTAGAGCCTGCCCAGTGATCCAGGCCACACTGAAGGGCCTTCCAAAGCAAATGTTTGGTCCTTTGGGCCAATAAGACTGTTCAGCCTAATACTTGCGGATTCAGAGGCTGGCTTTAGCACAGATACAGGTTGTCTGTTGCCACCCAGCATATATTTGCTCCTTTTCCATTAACATCAGCCTGATTTTCCTCTTGGGCACCACCTGAGGCTCAGTCCATGTGGCTGGGCTGGGTGTACTTCATCTGTCTCTTAAGGGCAGGCCAATGACTCAGGCTTGACTAATTCGTGCATCTTATCTCCTTGGCGCCAGTGATTGGTTCAGGGTTGGGCATGTGACTCAATTCAGTACAGTGAGACTCAAACCAAAGGCATGTTTTCAAACTGACGAGTTAAAAAGGAAGTTCTCTATTTCCTATGTGGTTGTTAGATGCCGTTGAGTCAATTTTGACTCAAAGCCACTCCATGTCACAGAGTAGAACTACCCCATGAGGTTTTCTAGGGTGTGATTTTTATGGGAGCAGATTGCCAAGTCTTTCTCCCACAGAGCCACTGGGTGGATCTGAACCACCAAACTTTTGATTAACAGCTGAGGACTTAACCATTGTGCCAACAGGGCTCCTTTTATTTCCTATTTTGAACCTACAAGGAAGAATGCCTGAAGCTTCCAAGGACACTGACATGGTGAGACTCTGTCTTAGCAGATAATTGAAACAGAGGGATGAAGCTGTGACAGATGGGAAGAGGGAAACTTTGAGCTCCCGAATCAAGCCACTCCTGAAACCTAACCGGAGCTTTTCAGTTGGTTACACAAGCCAGTACATTCCCTTTGATATTTTTGGTTTTAACTCAAATTTTAAGATTCTTTTTGTGGAGTCAAACAGATTCTTCACTGTTTACAAGGTTATTTCTGAGTTGTAAAAATTATCTACCCTTCTCTCCTCCTTCCCTCCCCCCCATTTTTAATAATTCCTATATTTCTCCATTCAATCTTGGCTGCCACAAGCAGACAGAAAGAAAGCAGGAGGAACTTTCTTCTTGTATCTATAGTGGAAGCCTTAGAAGCAGACATTAACTGCTCCAGGCCTGTCAAATAGATGCAACCTTTGACATTTAAATTACTTTAAATATCTGACATCAGCAACCAAAAACGGGGCGGGGGGGGGGGG